CTTTAGGAGGCTTGTAGAGTACTCCTGGTGGGGGGGGGGGAGCAAAAATGAGCAAAAACCTGTCCATTTTTCACAAAACAGGCTTATTTTTTGTCAAAAAAAGGGCACGCATAGCCTTTAGCAGGCTTATAGAGTGCTCGGGGGTGGGGGGAAATTGAGCAAAAAATGGCCCGTTTTTAGCTCATTTCTGCCCTCCCCAGCCCCCAAGAGCACACTGAAAACCTAAAGGCTCTGCACAGCCATTTTGGTGAAGGGGATGGGGTTTCGGGAGGCAAAAAATGCTGTATTCAGTGTATAGATTCAGATTATACATCCTCTTTTTTGAGGGAAAAAGGTGCGTCATACTCCAAAAATACGGTATATTTGGTAAAGTTTAAAAAAAGCAAAGTACAGTTTTTAATCCTGAATCATCCAGCAATATTATCAGATGATCAAATTGTAGTCATTACCTATTGTGAGTGATATAAAATTCAGTGTTACATAGCCAAAGATTCTAAACAAAGTAATAGCGTGGAACTAATATAAATTGCAAATAAAAGATATGTTGGATACCGAAAGTCCTCGACTTACAACATTTCGTTTAGTGACTGTTCAAAGTTACAATGGCACTGAGAAAAGGGATTTATCATTTTTTTTTCACCCTTACTAACTTTGCAGCATACCTGTGGTCACCTGATCAAAATTCGGATGTTTGGCAACTTACTCATATTTATGACAGTTGCAGTGTCCTGGGATCATGTGATCCCCTTTTGCGACCTTCTGACAAACAAAGTCAATGGGAAGCCAGACTCATGTAATAGCCAGGTTACTAACTTATCAACTCCAGTGATCACTTAGCAACTGAAGTAAGAAAGATCGTAAAAAGGGGCAAGACTCACTTAACAAATATCTCCCTAAGCAACAAAAATTTTGGGATCCATTGTGGTCATAAGTTGAGGACTGACTGTACTAAGCAAAAAAAAGTGTACATTCTTGTTTTATAATACCCAGTTTGGAAAGAAAAGACCAACTTTGAAAGAAAATAACCCCATTAATAGTGTTGCTTGAACTGAACATTATTAAATAAAATATTTGTATACATCATAAATTTTCAATTAACGTTAGAATAGTAATTTATTAATATAGATAGTCCTTACAATCATTCTATTAGTGAATATTTGAAGTTAAAATAGCAGTGAAAAAAAAGATTTACAACCAATTTGTGTACGTAAAACTAGCACATTTTTCCTATGGTCACATTATCAAAATTCAGGTATCTAGAAACCTTCATGTATTTACAATGGTAGAAGCACCCTGGAGTCCTGTGATTGCAAACTACAACCAGTCCGTTGAGTTTCTGATAAACAAAGTCACTGGGAGACTTAATGACTACATGATTATTCAATAATTGTAGTGATTCGCTTAACAACCATGGAAAATAGGTAAAATCTGATGCAATTCACTTAGTAATCACCTTGCTTAGCAATGGAAATTCAGTTCCCAAATATGGCCATAAATTAAGGACCACCTGTTGTTAAAATGAAAATAGTTCTCTGACATTGCTTTTACTTTTAATTCTTTTCTAGAAATATAAAGAAAAGGAAAAGCATAGACAAAAACATAAGAAGCAAACAGATTCTTCGCCATCCTTGGTTCCTTCCCTTACTGTAACTACAGAGAAAGTAAGTGAATTTTTCTTGCAATTTTTATTGAAATGATTACATTTTTTATATTTATGAGAGGAGCATTTCAGTAGTTGCCAAACTTTATTATAGATATCTCTTTTGATAATAAATAGTGCTTAGGATTAAATAGTTTTGATAGACATTTGTGATAAAATAAACTTAATTTTTAAAATGTTAATTATTTACAAGAATAATATCATATTTATTTCAGTTGGATCCTTCCACAGAAGAACTATTCTTAGAACAACTAAAATTAAAATAGAAATTATAAATACTATGGCAGAAGCACCTTTGAATTATTTGATTTTAGTTTATATTTAGAGACTTAAGTTTTCCAGTAAATTATCTCTGTTACATGTGACATCTAAGCCATCATTTAAACTTATATGTCCTTGCAATAAGAAAAAAATCATTTATCAGCCTTTTTCCTCATGCTACTAAATAAATAATTATATTGTGTCTATAATCTAGTTTTATGTTTGCAAATGTAAATTACTGAAAATTAAACACTTGCTAATATTTAAGTACAACTTTTGTGAAAAAGTAAGTAATAATCTTGGCATTTAAGGATAGTCTTGTATAATAAAATTTAAATTTTATTTTTATTTATTTATATTTATTAAATTTCAATAAAAATTTCAATAAAAATGTAAGTATTTTTAATTTCTCTGAAATAACTATTTTACTATTTAATTGATTGGAATATATGTGGAAGAAAAAAAGGGATTATATTAAATCGGTAGTATTATATTTTTCTAATGCAGATTTTTAGTTTTGTGGAAGATGTATCTTTTTATTTCAATGGTGTGTTTCAAATTTGTAAAGCATGTTTCAGGTTTTTACACCAAATAACTGCATACTGATGTTTCCCCAAAAATACGATCTATCCCAAAAACAAGCCCTAGCCTGATTTTCATGCACCTAAAGTAATACCTGCCCCCCAAAATAAGGCGTACTTAAGTCCGACCCACTTTCTGGTTGTACAAGGTGAGGTGAGGGGCAGGCGTAAAAATCAAGCTGGGGTGGTGGTGGAGGATGAAACGAGGTGGGGGGTGGAGGATGAAATGAGGTGGATGGTAGAGGACAAAATGAGGTGGCGTGTGTGGAGCTCACCCATGCACCCCACACCGGCTTACTTGAGGGCCCCACAGCTAGGCCAATACGTCCTGACAACTGCCTGGCCTTGTGACGTCGCCAAACCCCTGTTCAGGATTCCGTAGGGCCGCCAGCTTGCTCCTCCTTGCTTGCCGCCACAACAGAGCAGGAGGCTGAGCTATGCATGTGGTATCCTAAATGAGGCTACTGGAACCAGCAGTTGTCAGGATGTTGATGGTCCATTCAACATAAAAATATATTATAGTTTTTAATATTAAAACTAATTAGTTGTAGTTCCCTTTTAAGTCTGAAAACAATGTCGTTAGTTCTAACATTAAAAATTATAGTATATTTTCTGTAAATAGAAGCAGCATAAGAATATTTCCCACTCTAGTACTTTCCATAGATGATGTTAATCCACGTTTATCTGATATAAAGAAATAAATAAAATCAATATATATTAAGAATAAGAAATAGATATAACAACTGTGTGTACAGAAGAATACTTTTTGTTCTTCACACTTTTATCCACCATGCCTTTTGCAGTTCTATACTTCTTTAAAATCACAAATATTTATTTTCATATTTCAATTTTGATGACATTTGATATTTAGATCTTGTGAAATTTCCAGTATTTTTACACAGCTTCAGTAATAGTTCATAAAATGGCACTGTATCCCAAAATTTGTGTTATTGTGTTTCTCTGAAAATAAGACTTACCCCCAAAATAGGCCCTAGCATGTTTTATGCACCTGAGCCCAATGTAAGCCTTACTCCCAAAATAAACCCCAGTTAAGTGCCTGTGCAGCTGGTCGCCCCCTATTCCGTTTGGTTGCTTGCAGTGCCATCAATACAAGGTGAGGCAAGGAGGGGGTGGAAGTGTCTCACATTCCTCGCACCGGCTTACTTCAGGGCCCCTGCAGCCAGACCATCCATACCCTAACAATTGCCTCACGGCAGCAATACCAAAAGCCATGTGCAGCAGGAGCCAATGTGGCCACCGGTTTACCTCTTCTTATGGCTCCAGCACAGCACCAGAGCAGAAGATCAAGCAATGCACAAGTACTGTGGCTACAAGGGGGGTGGTGGATCTTCCCCACGTGCCCCACACTGGCTTACCTCAGGGCTCCTGCAGCCAGGTCATCCACACATGGCTGCCAGTCCACTTCTTTTGCTTGCTTGAGGCCACAATGGAGCAGGAGGCCAAGCAACACACTAGTGTTGCAGTCATGAGACGAGGCAGGTTTTAGGGTGTTGATGGCCTGGCTGCAAAGGCTTGAGGTAAACAGGTGCAGGGCATGTGGAGAAGCTCCTCTTCCCTCACCTCGTGATGCTCTGGAGTTGTGCTGGTGCTGGAAAAAGAGGGGCCAGTAACCACGTGGGGTCTTACTGGACGGGGCTGCCAGAGCTTCTGCAGCAAGGTGAGACAGGTGTCATGGCATGACTGGCCTAGCTGCAGGGGGCCTGAGGTAAGCCAGTGCAGGGCGCATGGAACAGCTCTCCTCCCCCTGCACCGATGGCACTCAAAAGAAATAAGACATCCCAAAAAATAAGCCCTAGTGCTTATTTTGGAGTCCAAAAGAAAATTATTTTATTTTCAGGGAAACACAGGTGGATACTTCATACTCCAGGTAGCAAAAAATATAAAAAATACCAAGAATTTTGGATAGTACATATTTTATTATTACCAGAATAATAATATGTTAAACAAAATGCTATTTGTTTAATATTGAAAATTTCAGAAAAGGGTATGTGTAATATTCTGACCTAGACTTAGTTATTGATGCTAGTAAGTTATATAATTTCTTTGAAAATGTGCATGTCAGTAACTGCTTTGGAACTGAGCAATCAGAATTAAAGTAATATGAAATACTGGTAGTGCACAACTTGGTTAACAGCTGTTTCCAGTCACAATGGCCTTGGGACAGATGCTTTACAGCTCATAAGGCACTTCCTGTTGTTAAAAATGTCATGGTTCTACCAGTCATAAGACTTTCAGTGCTTGGCAACCTATTTGTATTTATAATTGGTTGCCAGGTTTCCTGTGATCATGTCATCACCATTTCCAATCTTTACTTGTTTCCCTAGAAAGTCTGGGGAAGCTGATAGAGAAGATTGCAAATGGATTGGATATTAGATTTAAGGTCTTTTCCCCCAGCATGCTATAGTGAAGAAAAGATACAGTGAATCTGCCTTTAGATTATAATCCCCTCACAGATATCTGGAATGCTACAATTTCCATTTTTATTTTATATGGATTGTTGTCATAATTGATTGGGGTTTAATTTTTTTTGGAATTCTAATAAAGGCAATTTATTTCACAAAAGAGATTAAATAATACCAGACTGTATTCAATTTAAATTTATATGGCATTCATCTCACTGATATAGTGACTTGGTTGGCTCACAAATTATTAAATATAAAAACAGTTAAAAGTAAATAATTCTTAAATAAGAATTAAACCAAAGCAATGGATGCCATGGGGTTAGGGTCTTCTCTCTTATTTCATCAGGTTCCTCTAGCAAACAGCATCCCTTCCTCATCATGGCTGCAAGCCAGTCAGCAAAACCAGTTTTTAAGGCCTTTCTGGAAGGCCATTTTGATGAAGACCATTTTCATCTTTGAATGGCATTTTAGTGGCAAATTCTAAAAAGTGATAAGAATTAGGACAAAACACAATTCCATTTGAGCAATTGCAGAGGAACATCGCCAACTGGTTTATACATATGTGAGAGCATATGTGTACATATATGTTCAGAGAGCTTTTCCAATTCTTACTTGTACCTAAAAAAAATTATCAGCTTAATATTACATATAATTTGGTCTGTTTGCTTTCGACATTGCAACCCTAAAAACTAGTGTTAATTTTTTTTGGTGGGGAGGAAGTCATTTTGATTGTTACTAAAAGGGAAAAGAGTAAAATTAATTTTAGATGTTAATTTTAAAATGCTAGATGGTAATAAATTTCATGGGTGTGTTGTGAGATGACATTGTGCTATACAATCATAATATTTTATCACTGTATATTTTCTGAATTAAGCCAAAGAGTCATTTTAAAATTAAATGACTTTTTCAGGGTAAATATTTGTGCTCTATCTTATATATACTTTTATTTGTAAAGCTAAGATGCCACTGTGCTGAATATATTAAAATAATGCAATTTTCTTTATTTTCTCTTTAATCAGAATATCAAATCAATAATAGTAGGGATTTAAGGCACAGCAGTTAAAAACAAATGTTAGTGAGTTAAAGAAAAGGAGGAAATGAAGCTTTTTGGGTTATATCATTAAGTTACATTGGAGAAGTTTTTAGAACCTTTCAATAAAAAGTGAAAGAATGTAAATAGGAGCTGCTTTTATAGGTGCTGTGAAGAGCCAGTTAAGTATAATTTAAGGGAAGGTATATATCTACACTGCCACTAATTGCTGCAAAGTTTTATGTCAGTTCCTTGTGGTCTAACTGTCTCTCTCAACTTCCCTTTTCCCAATTCAATACTGTTAAGACTTACACAAGCACTACCAACAGCTCTATGACAGGGTCATTGAAGAGACTGGAAGATACCACAGCTCGTTTTACAAATGCAAATTTCCAGGAAGTCTCTGCACATGCTTCAAGTGGCAAAGATGTTTCAGAGGCCAGAGGTTCAGAGAGCAAAGGGAAGAAGTCAGGAGGTCATAATTCAGGTCAAAGGGGAAGAAAGCCTGGTGCTGCCAGGACTCCTGGAACTGCAGTATCAGCAGCTTGTACTTTTCAACAAGGTATTATTGAAGGGTACTCTATTGCTTTCTTCAGTGCCAAGTGGAATTTAAATTAAAAATAATAAATTTAGATGAAATATATTTTTCATATTTAGTATGTGAAGAATATAAGTAGCTTCAGAATTTCCCTTGAGAAGCTAGCAGCAGCAAATTTTCAGCACATGCTTAGTATCTTACATGGCATTATCTAGAAGTAATTTTCCTGACAAATAACTGTGAAAACCTATACTTTATTAATATAAGAATTATACTTTATACTAATTTTGGGGAGAGAAAATATTTTGAGAAACAATATATCAAAAAAAAAGCACTGCATGTTTTTATCAAGAATTAGTTGACTACAATAGTACTGAGAAGAATATTTTCCCATATAAATTGAATTCTTTGCTTTTCTTGGAATGATTTCATAGTTGAAAAAGGTATTTCTCTTATTGGAATATTTCCTATTATCTTTACTGTAATGCATTACATATAATGGATTATTTTATTTGCCAATTCTATCTAAAATGTGGGGTATTATTTTTCCCTTTTGATTTAAAAGTATGTTTGTTATCAACAAAAAAAAACATTTTTCAGATCAGACTTCCTCTTAATTGCCCAATCTAGAAGTTATGGGAAAGTGTGGTAAGAAATAAGTTTAGTAAGAATAAGGGGGAGATAAGTTTTTTTAGAGTAGAGAAAATTACCTGATCTTTGTACTGCCTACAAAGGGCATATCCGGGACTTATGATAAGAACAAGCTATTGCTTCTTTTAGCTTTCCCAGGATTATCTTGATTTCTTTCTTACATATTTTTTCTGCCCAAAGATCCAGCAATTGGAGAGATGTAATTTTTATTTTATTTATCTAATTCACATAAATGGCATTCTCAGAGAACAAGTGATTCTGGCTGGTTTACCATAAATTAATTTGAAAGCATTTTTTGTTGGTTGCTAGCTTAAAAAATAATATATGAAGAGTCATGGTGGCACAGTGGTTAGAATGCAGTACTGCAGGTTACTTCTGCTGATCATTGGCTACCAGCAGTTTGGCAATTGGGGGTCTGACCGGCTCAAGATTGACAGCCTTCCATCCTTCTGAGGTCAGTAAAATGAGGACCAAAATTGTTGGGAGCAATATGCTGACTCTTTTAACCACATAGAGAGGATTGGAAAACACTGGGAAGCGGTAAGGGCATTGCTAGAGTAGCAGTAATATTAAAGAGAGCTTTAGTGACTAGTTAGAAAACCTGCCAAGAAAGTTCTCTAAATTGTAATTTTTTTAAAAAAAATCTGTTGCTGTAAACCATGAATATATGTGATGACTAAGTTGGTTAATTCTGGAAAACAAAGCTACATGCATATCCAGAATTTCCCAAATAACAACTGAAAATTAATACAGCCAGGGAAATTTTCTTTAATACTATACTTACATATTTGCTGATAGAGTAAACATCTGTTTTCAGCAACCAACACTTCTCCATATCTCTTTTCTCCAGGAAGTTTTTTGGGAACTCCAAACAGTACAAAGTCATCCTCTGGAAGTTCTGTTCAATCTCCCCAGGATTTTTTGAGCTTTACAGACTCAGATCTACGTAATGACAGCTATACTCATTCTCAGCAAACTTTGTCAACCAAAGATGTATATAAAGGAGAGATTGGAAGTCAGGAAGGTGGTTTGAATTGCTTTACTTCCTTAATTAATCTTCCTTCAACCTCAACTGTTTCCTCCCAGCCTACTATTTTTGACAGTTCACCTGGAGAGTTAGGTAGTTCAAACCTTACACCAACAGGATACAAACGTGCTCAGTCATCTGGGATAGAAGATGAAACCATAAAGGAAAAGAAACGAAAAGGAAATAAACAATGTAAGCATGGGCCTGGTCGGCCCAAAGGAAATAAAAGTCAAGATAATATTTCTCACCTATCAGTTTGTTCAGCCTCCCCAACATCATCTGTAGCATCTGCTGCAGGAAGCGTAACGAGTTCTAATCTGCAGAAATCTCCAACATTGCTCAGAAATGGAAGTCTACAAAGTCTCAGTGTGGGTTCCTCTCCTATTGGTTCAGGTAGGCATTAATATTATTTTAGAAGATACATGTTTTAATTTATCTTTACTTCACAGTAATAATATCTTTGGTGTTTGATTCCACTCTGTTTTAAGTTACATTTTCTGGAAAACAGTTGCCTTTTAAAAAAATATTCAAAGGCTAAGATAAGATATTTTTTCAAGTTTTTATCTTTATTGCTGCTTACCATGTGATACATTTACTGTTATCCTAGTTTATTAGAGGTGAGCACTGCTTCAGTTTCAATGGGACAAAAGTGCTTTAAATTACATGTGGAAACCTAGAATGCATCTGCAACAATCCTATAATCTGTGTCTAGAATTGAGATCCTAGGAAGACAAAGGGAGTTTGCAGCATGTGTTGGCGAGTGCTTCCACATGCTCCAAAGTACTATGTCCTTTAAGATACAAATAGAAAGTAGGGCATGCAGCACTTCATGTGTAGTGAGGCAAGAGGAGTGGACACTTGATACTTTCAAAAATTAGTATTGACTAATTTACTTTTTTCAAATTGAAGTAATAATCGATTGTGAAAGATTATCAATAGTAACACAATCATGGAGATATTAGTTTGAAATATTGCATAATTAAATTACTAATAATCTTGAATGCCTAGCATCAGCTGTGATAATTTGATAATTGGAACATTTGGTGATGAGGGAGTAATCTGTTTCCGAAACAGAAATTTTTGTACACCTCTGGTTGGGGTGGCGCGGTGGCTCAGCAATTAAGGTGCTGGGCTTGTCAGCTGGAGAGATGTGAATGCTACAATACAGGGGAACTTCTGTTCTTGCCCCAGCTCCTGCCAACCTAGCAGTTCGAAAGCATGCAAATGCAAATAGATAATAGATATTTCAATGGGAAGGTAACAGCACTCTGTGAGGTCATGCTGGCCACATGACCATGAAAATGTCTTCAGACAGTGCTCACTCAATGGCTTAGAAATGGAGATGATTACTACCTCCTATATTGACAATGACTAGCAGAGTAAAATCCACAGAGACTCTATATAACTTGGCTTATTTTATATGAAAGCTATTCAAGAATGACTGAAAAGAGGGAAAACTTTTAAGTGATATTTACATCTACTGTAAAGAAAAACCATAGCTGAATTAATAATAAGATCCCAAAAGTGTTCAATATTTTTATTGCATTTTTAATAATATACAGGAGCAAATTATTTGTTAATTTAGTTAAGTGCTCCTATCCATTCAATCTTACATTTCATATATAGGTAGTCCTCCACTTACAATTGGTTTCTTAGCAACCATTCAAAGTTATGACAAGACAATCCCCCCCCCCCAAAAAAAACTACTTATTACCCAGTTTCAAAGTTATATCTGACACCGTATGGTTGGCCTTTATGCTC